GGTGTGGATGATAACCTAGGTGGAGAAGGTGAATCTGATTTCTTGAGTAGTGATTCAGATCTAGATATACCTTCAGAAGATGGTTCAGATATTGATGAGGAGTTGAGAGCTTTTAGACAAGAAAAAAGAAACAAAAAATAGAGAAAAAAGGTACTTAATTTGAAGAAATACCAGCTGGAGAGGCTGGTGGTATTATAGAGGCTTTGAGGATATTGGAAAAAAATAAAACTGACAAATATGTAGGAAAATTAGGTGGAGATGAGGATTATATTGATAGCTCTGACTGTTGGAGTGATGATAGTGATGAACAACTAGATGTGGATGCTGTTAGGGGAGTAAATATACCTACTAGAAGGAGAAGCAAAAAAAGTTAGGTATGATGAAGATTGTGAAGTTTCAATATTTGAGCTTGGAATGGTCTTTGAGGGTGCAAATCAGTTCAGGAAAGCAGTGACAGATTATGCTGTAGAGTACATGAGGCAGATAAAGTTAAGACCTAATGAAAAACATAGAGTGAGGGTGAAGTGCAAAAATGCTAACTGTAAGTGGTTGTTATATGCTTCCATTGACAGGGATTCATGTGATTTCATTGTGAAGAACTATCATCCTGTTCACAAGTGTATTCCATTAAACAGGAACAAGTTGTGTAATTCAAAGTTAATTGCTAGAAAGTTTAATGACAGAATTGTATCTCAACCAGACATAAGGATTTGGGAAATTCAAGATTTGGTTAGAAAGACATTGGGTCTTTATGTTGGTAAGACTCTTTGTTACAGGGCTAAACAGAGGATTATGAAGGAAAACATGGGTGATTGGAAAGTGGAATTTGCCAGATTATGTGACTATGAAGATATGATCAAACAAACCAATCCTGGAAGCTCTTGTTGGGTAAAAATTGATAAGGAAACTGAACCAGGAAAGAACCTTTTTGTGTATTTTTATGTGTGCTTTCATGCATTTAAGCAAGGATGGTTGGAGGGGTGTAGGAATATAATTGGATTTGATGGTTGTTTTCTTAAGGGAGCTTGTAAATGTGAGTTATTAGTTGCTGTTGGAAAGAATGGGAACAATCAAATGTATCCCATTGCCTGGGCAGTTGTGGATACAGAAACAAAACATAGTTGGAGCTGGTTCATAAGGTATTTAATTGCTGATCTAAACTTGGGAACTGGGGAAGGTTTGACTATAATGTCAGATATGCAAAAGGTATTGATTATACAATTTTTTATATTTTAGTTTAATTTGATCTTTACTTCTTTAATTACTTATTTTGTACATATTTTTTGTTAGGGACTTATTCCTGTCTTGTCAGAGTTGTTACCAAATGCTGAGAAAAGGATGTGTGCTAGACATATATGGAGTAACTGGCATGTGAATTGGAAAGGAGAAGAAAGAAGGAAACAATTTTGGAGATGTTCAAAGGCCTCCTTTGAAGTCAAGTTTGGAGAAGAAGTTCATGCAATGTCCAAGCTAGGTAAGAAG